ATGAGGTTTGGTGAAATAGCATGTTTGTTCATCAAAAGTAACGTCAACAGGTGGAAGAATTTTCTTGATGGAGGGGTGATAACACTTATAACCTCTCTTGATGAATGAATATTCGACAAAGATACATTTGAGTTCTCTGGGATCTAAGTTTTCACTATTTTGATTATGCATGTGAACATAGAAATTGCACCCAAAGATTCTAGGTTTGAGGCTATTATGGGTTCAGAATTTATGGTAAGAAGAGAGTAGAATATTCATTAGTATTTTTAGTCCCAAGGTTGTTGAAGGTAGTTGGTTTATGAGATATATGACAGTCAGAAGGGCTTCCCCTCAATTGGATTTGGGTACATTGTGGTGGAATAAAAGTGCACTGGTGGTGGCAAGAAGGTGGCCATTTTTTCTTGCTGCAACTCCATTTTGTTGTGGGGTATGAATGCAAGAAAACTCATAAATGATACCTTCCTTTTGAGAGGAGGATAGAGTTTGGTTAAAGTAATATTTGACATTATAGAAACAAAATTTTATTATTTTTTATCTCGAATTAGTTCTGGATCATGGTGAGAAAAATGGGGAGGATAGTGCTAACAATAGATTTGTTTTTAAGGAGAGATCCAAGAGACTCGAGTGAGTCATCAATGAAGGATACAAATCATCTGGCCCCTGAAATTTTAGGAATTTTTTAGGGTCCTCGGATATTACTATGACTAAAGTAGAAGGGGGTATGAAATCTCTTATTTTTGTTTGGAAAAGTAACTTGTTTATGCTTGGCTAATTCATAGGTTTCACAACGAAAAGATTTATTTTCCAACTTATAAAAAAAATTTTGTATAATTTTTTTATTAAATAGGGATAAAATAAAATAGCCATTATTAATAATAATGGATTTGTTCAGCTCTTCCAGGTGGTACAATCCATCTCTCTCCTTAGCAAGTTCAATCTTCTTCCTCAATCCCTGGTCTTGAAATAAGCAACAAGTAGGGTTAAAGAAGACTTGTCAATTATGATCACTAGTAAATTTTTGTATGGAGATTAAATTTGTGGATAATTTAGATATGTAGAGTACATTTTTTAAAGTGAGAGATGGAGATAAGGGTATGTCTCATTGGCCTACTATTGTGATAAGATAACCATCAATAGTGATTATTTTCTTATCACTCGGGAAAGGAGTGTAGTTTATGAAGTGGGTAGTGGAGTGTGTCATATGATATGTGGCTCTTGAGTTAATGATCCATACACCTTTCAAATGATTTCTAGAGGTATTTAATCTAATGGATATTAAAAGTGCAAGAGAAGAAGATGCAGGTAATTTTTCAAAAGATACCAGGAATTATTTTAGCTTATCAATATCTTCTTTGTTGAGCTCTCTGAAGCTGGACTGCATTGTTGGCTTAAGCTGATTTGTTGTAGTGTTTGCTTATGATGTTCACTTTTGTTTACTTCTTTGATTCCACTCATTACTTGGGGGTTTTTCCTGTAACTTCCAACGTCTCTGATTTATGTGTCGTGATTTATTACAATAGTTGCATTAAAGTGAGTCTTTGTCTTTAGAATTTAAAAAATCATTACATTTTTTCCTTTCACGACGCCTCTTTGGTTGTCAATATTGTTGAACCTTTACCAACATTTGGTTCCAACATTGCCTCTTGTTGGCTTTCCTCAGCACGAATGAGAGAAATGGACTCATTTAGTGAGATTGTCTCATCTTTGCCAAAAATCTGAACTCTAACATAGTCAAACTCCGTATTTAATCCTGCAAGAAAGTTATACTTCTGGACACTTGGTCTCTATGCATCTATAGTGACTAAATTCTTTCCACAAGCTTTGAAGGAGAGTGGCATATTTAGTCACGATCTGCTTATTTTGTGCTTTCCACCCTAACATTAATTTTGAAGATTTGTGCAGCATTCCAAGCTTTTGAGAAGGTTTGACTAGTGGCATCCCATATGTCTTTTACAATAGATAGGAACATGATAGTATCGTTCATTTCTGGAGTCATGGAATTTCACAGCTATAACATGATCATGGAGTTTGCTCTATCCCATGCCCAAAAATTAGGATCTACCTTTGGTCATACCCCAAGAAGGTGATTCATTTTTCTTGTCCCTTTCAATTAGGTCTTCACAAATTGAGACCAATTCAAGTAATTCTTCCCATTTAAGGGATAGGAGGTTGCATATTTTAGAGATCTCCTTTTTCTTAGTGCATCATAAAGTCTTCCATAAAGCTTTGGTAGGAATTAGCTTCAGACATTTTGGTGGCAAAGGATAGCGATGAATGCTATATTAATCAAGCCAGCAAGGTGCAGGGCAGCAATGAAGGCTGCTATGGTTTAAGAGTAATAGCAACAATAAAAGACGGCCGACAATGAAGGCACTATAAAATAAATCATCAATCTTTCTCAATTGGGCTTAGGAGTACTAATGATAATTTCCTTATAGATTTTTCTCCAATTCTTGCATTTTAGAATGATTATTCCTTTAGTAACATTTGTCTAATAATTTAGAATCAATTCTTGCATAAAATATGCTGTCTTTTTTTTTTTCGAATAAAATATTTGCGACACTATTACTTTAAAACCAAGCCTAACATTTTAGAATGATTATTCTTCTAATTCTTGAAAATTTTATATCTTTATTTAGACTTTCAAACTGAAGATCGCATTGTTGATGGAGAACCATGACTTGAAATTTTCTTATTGTTTAAGTTTGTGTGATTTTTAAAACGGTTTGATCATTTATCAATCATCCAAAAAAATAAACATCGATGAGATGAATAAAAGCTTACTTAAAAGGCTTTTTTTTTCTCATACATTCACTACTAGCTAAAACCATCAAACATTTAAATATTATCGACAAATCATGTTTAATTGCATGACATTTTAAAATGTATAATAGTGAAAATCATATTTATTTATTTATTTTTGTACAATCAAATCCATTCTTGAGAAATTTTTTATAAATCCATTTGATGGCCAGACAATCTATAAAATTTTTGAAATTTTTTATTTCTCTTGTTTTAAGATTATTAGATATGAAGAAAATAAAAAGTGGAAAAAATAGTTAGACCTGATATTCTAAGAGGTGTGAAAATGCTTAGGAGATGAAGGAATTTTTTTTCTTACTAAACTTTTTAATAGTATCTTGAAGGCTAAAAAGATGTCAGATGAGTATAGATGGAGTGTGTTTCCTATTTTTAAGAATAAAGGTGATGCACTTTGCAAATTATAGAGAAATTAAGTTAATGTGTCATATATTAAAACTATGGGAGAGAGTAACTGAGCATAATTTACAATGTGCCTCTAATGTTCTCTAAATCAGTTTGGATTCATGCCAGGTAAGTCTACTATGGTAGCATACATTTATTGAGAGGTTTGATGGAGCATTATAGCGAGAATAAGAAGGATCTATATATGATATTTATTGCTTAGTGAAAACATATGATAAAGTCCCAAACGAAGTGCTTTATTCTTAGTGATAAAATGTGAAACGAGTATATACGTGAAAAGGTTAGAGTAGCTCCCGTGGCAGATAAGATTAAAAAGATTGGCCTTAGATGGTTTTGTCACATTAAATGTCAGCCTTCCGATGACTCAGTTAGGATAGTATATGTATTAGATCTAGCCTATGTTAGGAATTGTAGAGGTAGACCTAAAAAAGACTCGATTAGAAAGTATTAGAAATGTTATTTCCTTATTAGATTTAAATGAGAATTTACTCTTAATAGGAAATAATGCAAAAAAAAAGATTAATGTAGCCAACCCCACGTAGTGGGATAAAGACTTGATGTTTATTTTATTGTCTTTCTTTAACATTATTAAAGATAATGAATAATTTTGATCTCATATTTGAAATTTATAACAATGAATTATGGATGGGAGGATGAGCGGAGATTGATCACTTTGCTCCTAGGCTGAGAAAAATCAATGTTTTTCTTCATGTCTGCTTATTCATTTTAGTTGTGGTGGCTTATCTTGTAGAATTATTGTAGAAAAAACCAATTTTCAACAAAGTTGTGGGTATTATGAATTATTTCTCCTTGGAGAAAGTTGTATAACTTTCTCGTAAAAATGACTCTAGAATGTATAAAAGTTGCATGTTATCCTATGATGCACCAAAACTTGAGATATGCAGTGTTTGCATGCACTGACACATGGCGAACATGTTTTCGTTAAATACTTTTTAAAATGAAATGGACATGCGTATCTGACACATGTGACCTAAATAACATAATTATAATTTTATATATAGGCTTCATTTTTTTTACTTAATATAGACCTAAATTTGCTTTCCATTTTTTCAGTTTTGGACTCACGAATGTTACTCGACAATTTCCCACTCACAACTAGGGTTTTATGTTTTTGGCATTTGTATTTCCCCTCTCCCCTCTTACTGACATCGACGCCCGTTCCCCTTTCGATGCCAAAGCCCTTTGCACTCTCCATCTTCTCTCTCCAGCCCAAGCTTGAGTCGATGTCCTCTCTCTCATCACCAAAGCTCAAGCTCACCCTCCTCACTTTAGCAACTAACATTTAGTGAATACATCACTATTCTCTTACCCTTGGTAGAATTTTTACAAGTGATGTTAAAAAAAATTATTTTTGAAGTTCTATTGTTGGTTTTGGTTTCGCTGGACTCTTCATCTTCTTAAGGTTATTGCTATAATTAAATGTCTTGTGTTTTTTTGTTGTTTTTAATATTCTTTTTTTTGTATTATTTTTAATTTTGAAGTAGTGTTCAATGTGTGTATGTGTCCCATATTTTCTAATAAATGTATTTGGTGTCTAGGTGGTCTTATTTGTATATGTGCACCCTATTTTTCACCAAATAAATTTTTGGTAAGTAGTAAAAAAAGTTGTAGCCAAATAAAATTATGTCATTTTATTGAAAAATAATGCTATGAAAAAAGTTGCCTTACACTGACCCTATGTTTTATTATTATTGTTGAATTTTTTGGTTACAATGTTTTTGTTCCATTTTATTTCTGACTCTTTTACTTTTCAGAATGAGGCACAACTTGTCGATGATGGAATGGCAATGATTGGTTTTCAGTCAAATTCACAAAAATTTGGCTCAAGTGAGGATGATTTTATAGAATCAGATGATGCCAGAACAGGCCGTCCACGAGTGAGAGCAGCACGAAGTTCACCATTTGCGGAGCCCAAGATTTTAGTGATTCCTAGGAGTCACATGAAACGGGGAAGGGCATTGCCACACAGATGGTCTTACAGGAGGGTATGTGATCTTTGAATTTTTTTTTTAAATATGACTAAAATTAAAATATTTTTAAGTTTTTGATTTACGACAAATAAATTATATCACGTAGAAAATTATGTAAAATAAATAGGACTAGTTTTACTTGCCAATTTATAATACATACTGATTAAATAACCAATATGTCTGAGCTTTTGGATTTGATAAGGGATAGCATAATTTTACAAGTCCCTTAATGAAAACCCAAAGCTTAGACAGGTCCCTTCCATTTAATCATTTTGTTATAAATCTTCATCATAGGAAAATCTTGTTTATTTTATAACATCTGCTTCACATTATAGTTTATTTTTTTTTTAAATATTTTTAAAAATTTAAAAGTTTATTGATGTGAAAAGCTGATCAATTTATTTTATTTTTCTGACATTTGAACTACTAATTATATATTTTAATCATTATTTACAATAAATTAGCATGAGAACATAAATTCATTCATTAAGATTGATTATCTTATGATCTAAAGTAAAATGAAAAAAGTTCATATGAATTTATATCTTTCAAAGATTTTTACAGAACATTGTTATCTGTAAATGCAATATTTCTAGATTAGTATCATCAACTAAGGTGGTGTGTTAAGGGTTAAAAAAATATTTTGGTAAGCTATGCTAGCTATCATAGAGAATTTAGTTTTATACCTATAATTATATAATTTTGCGACAGTGCATAAGTAAAAATTCTTAATCTAGTAAAGAAAAAATTGTATGAAGAATGATAACATTGTAGATGTATCAACGATACTTACTAGTAATGTGGTTTGAATATTTTCCATTGAAATGTTTGTGTAAAGCTTCATTTATGACTTCGTTTGGGGCGGCTTTTTTGCTGCTTCTTAAAATAATTTTTTAGTACAAAAATTAAAATTTTTGTACTAGAAAGCTGCTTTAAGAAGCAATAAGAAAGACGTCCCAAACAAACCCTAAGTCATGAATCAATGTACATGAACAGTAATGTGGTTTGAATATTGCATGACACAGGACGCACATGAACCAGTTCTGCTATTCACAAGACCTTTAGATCCAGATAAATTGGCTGCTGCAGGGATTGTTCCACCATCTTCTTCCCCAGTTGAAAATGGTTCAAAGCCAACCTGTCGATTCCATGGCAGGATAGGTCGTGGAGGACGAATTGTCTTTGATCGCTGGAATCCACTTCAATCTCCAATTGGTTTCGAAAGCATTCAACAAGTTCCAGCAAATGATCAGCCGCCTCAGCCAAATGGTTGAACCATTGTTTTGAGAACAAGTTTCTTCTTTCTATGCATCAGTTGCTGATCTTCTCTACCTCAAGAAAGATCTTCAGCTTCCTCCTTGCGCTTCTGAGATGTCTCTTCTGGATCAAGAGAAAGAAAATTACTAGATTTGAGCATCATGGCAGGGGCAGAAAGGCCAAATTTACACGGAAAGTTATAGTGGGAAATGAGAAGGCTTGTTTAATTCTCTTTTTTTTTTTTTCTTTCCAAATTCTGATTCACGAATCTCCCACTGATCTCCACACCATTGTACAATTATTCAGATTGCAATTTGGAAGCCAAAAGCATTGTGCCCAAACAGTAAAGTTCCCTTTTTAGGGGCTTCTATGTTCCAAATGCAAGATAAAGTTTTTGGTTAATCAATTTATGGGAACATAAATGTGTTAATTCTTATAAAATGGCCATTGTCAATTGGTTTTTATAATGCTCTTTTTAATCCCATCTTCCCATGTTTGTGTAGTACTATTAAATATATCTTACTAACTTGCTCCATTACGGAAAGTTGAGAAAAGTCTCTGATGTTAAGGTTTATGCTGTTTGTTGCATAAGTTCAAGGTCAAAGAGCTTTTTTGTTCAGCAAATTGCTGTGTTCTAATCATAATTGTTTGCAGGCATTTTCCAAATTTAGAAAAATTGTCTAAATATCTAGTTTTTCTTTAGAATCCAATAATCAAAGGCACAAGAATTAAGTCACTTCACTTTTTCATTGATTCATTTTATCTTATATGCATCAAGATATATGGGAGTCGTCAAATATGAAGCAACGCATTATGCTTAGAATTAAGCACAACCCATCAAAGGCAAGTGCTATATCTCTATTATGCTTAGAATTAAGCACAACCCATCAAAGGCAAGTGCTATATCTCTGCTGTGCAAGGCAAATTGTAGTTCAGATTTTCGGCAGAAACACATGCTCTATCAATTCATTTGGAATGATAAATTCAAAATCCGTAATGCTGAAAACATTATTACTATCAGTTGCAACCTTTGCATTCCATTGATGTGTAATCTTGGGAATCTCAGCATGTTCATTATTATATGTTATGCCCTCTTTTGTATTTTTATTTCTTATATAATAGTCACGAATAATATCATTGATATTTGGCTTAACACCAAAATTTGTAACAGCATAATCATGAAAGATATCATCAACTCTTCATTCTCATAATCAACTTATGTAATATTAGACACAATGAATAAGAACTTACTTTAAAAAATATTATAATTTCATTCACAACTAACATATCCAAGATGTGCATTAGGTATTGTGAATGTCATCTCAACAGCATCATGCATCTCATGCACATGATCGAGCACGACTAATCGCGTATTTGAGTTGACAAATCTTCATCCAAATCAATATCATTTAGAATTTTCTCTACCTCCACATAGAGAATTAGAACATCAGAAACATCCAATGATAATACAAATTCACAACCTTCATTGTCCTCAACCTTCGAAGCTATGAATTGGTTACTCACCGAGAAACTACCCACAATGGTCGCCACGAACTTTGAGGGATCAAACTTCAGCGCCCTAAGAACCCTATCCTTTAACTGCTTCAAAGTTGATTTGAATGGAACTTGTAGGGGCTGACATTTACCACCAATATATGATAGTGAAAAATTATCATCTAAGGATAACTCTCCTTCATATACTAATATAAAAGATGGTGGGCGTGTGCTCATTTTGAATACATACATTTACAATATATTTGAAACAATATATTTATTCCATCGAGACAATCATCAACTTCATAATATTCCAATTATGTATTAAATTTATTAAAAGAAGACACTACAAATAAAAAAGGTTAAATTACACTTACAAACACTAAGCAACTAAACATACTAAAAGGTAATGATATATTAGAATTATATTAATGAGTGTTTAAGAATAGTTAAGTAATCGATATGAAGAGCTAATACATAATTTATTGTTCTTTAATACTCATTTATTTTTAATATATTTTTCCACATCTCTCACTTCTAAACATATGGTACTGATTCAAGATATCACTAAATTATAAACCTTAACCTAATTTAAAGAAATTGATCATGATGGGGCCTTGAAATTGAAACTCTATTAAGAGCTGAAGAAATGTATAGATATATATTTTAAACTTAAGAAAAAAATATTTATAAATTTAATTGTGTTCAAATGTTATTTCTTCTTTAATTTGTTAAAAGTTTTAAAATACCTATTCATTATTTATTTAAATAATTAAAATATGTCATTTATTTAAATAATTAAAATATGTCATTTATTAGTCTTCTTTCGTAAGAAACATTTGAAACAATTCTTTTAATATGCTTATTAGTCTAATTTTGAATTATTTGATAATATTAAGGAATTGTAAAACTTCTAAACTTGCATACTAATGAATTTGTAGGAAATAATTATCTCAAATTGTAGGTGCCTCCCATGATGTTTTATTAGCTTCATGTACTCCATTAATTCTCTTACATTGGTGAATCCCCCCATTCATGATGCTTTTTTTAGGTATGCTACAGTGTTCTCTTCCAAGGACCAGCTTGTTAAACTAGCAAGAATTGATTAATAAAAACCCTAAAATAAAAAAATCAACCCCCTATTTCTACCTAATCCAGGATAATGTAACAGAACAAAATACAAATCTGAAACGAATGGATAAATTTAAACAAGAAATATTCCTATGTATTCATATGAATCTATTAGCTCTGATGACCAATTTCTGTGACTCCAACAGATCCAAAATCCAAATCTAAGTGCCATCACATTAATTGACATAACAAACATCTAGAACTCTCTTATGTCCATTGAAACGATCCACTCGATAAGTTTGAAAATACCTGAGGAAAATCACATAGAGTGAGCGAAGGGTATCATTGTTAAAGAAAGGGTTGCTTAGGTGGAAAAAGAACCATGGTGCTGACAATTTAGAATTTGTTGTTTTTACTAAGAATTGAACTCATTCCATCCCTTGACTCTTATTTTTATTGACTTGGCTTTGTCCACTTGATGAAAATCTGCTGCAGTTGAAGCTGCTGGTTCCATATTATCTATACCATTGATGGCTGTTTAAGGTTCTGAACGGAACTAAGCTTTGTCACATATTTTTTCCTCTTATATGTTAAAGGAAACATGCTGCTTCTTCCAACATCATCTCCATTTTTTTCCCTATGCCAGTGCTCGGAATGGTCAGGATAATTTGGAAAAATCTGACAATCATCCATTACTAAGGTTGAGTTTCTTGATACTGCTTCTGTAAAATTGGTATGAACTGGCATTATCTTCCTTCCATAATGATCAGAAGCTGATAGGTATAAGCATAAAGAGCCTGGACTTAAAACTTCAGTTTTTTGGCTGTCAAAAAATCCTCCAAAATCACTAGTGTCATTAGAGTACATCTTCATACTATTTACTGTATTCTTTCTCAGGAAGCTACGTGCATTATCAAATAACTCAGAACCAATGCTTAAAGCATCCTCGCTTTTCTTACCATTTGTGAAATCAGTTTTTAACTTACTATATAAGTTCTCCTCTTGCAACTGTGAAGCAAAACATGAAGAAGAGATTTTAGTTGATCTGTGATGAAATGTCGAAAAAAAAAAAGAGAAAAAAAAAATGAAGAAGAGATTTTAGTTTGGCAAACATCAAATACGGTATTGGAATTCTTTTCAGGCAGAACAGAAATCACCTTTGGTCTTTCTACTAGACTATTGGGATAACCTTTACGCTTTATTTTTAGTACACCCTTTGGAGGCCGCCTAAATAGTTCTTGGGACTCTGTGTGCAATTGTAGACCAATCTGCTTTGATGCCACATTCATCGTCAAAGGTTTTATTTTCAGAACACCCTTAGCTTTTTTCCTGCTATTTAAACCCATGCCATTCCAATCCATGGCAGGAACATGTGTACTTTCCACTTCTTTTATATGCCTTGGTTTTTTAACTTGTGGAAGTCTCATAACCTTGTTCTCAGCCTTAGATGAAAACTCTTCATCAGTAGGAAATGCATTAAGATCAACCAGAAACACAGGTTTTCGGTATTTCCTATTGTTTAAAATTTGAACTCGTTCTTCGACACATGTATTTGGTCTGCAATTCCTCCAAGCCTTTATCATATCTACAATCTTCTGGCATAATCTCTCTTGGTAAGATCTCAAAGAATGGAAATATCGGCGTACATATAAAAACTCCAATCTTTCTCTATAGTGACTTACTTTAAGAGAATAGAACCCGCCTTTAAGTCTATGGAAAAATATTTCCAATGGACTTCCAAAGAATAGATTGGCACCACGAAGCAACTCCTACATAGTCAGAGAAAATGTTTCCTGATCCATGTCTGGAAGATAAGCAGCAAGATAGAACCTTTCATCTTCAGTCAAATAGGAATTCCATGTTTCAAGTGAGAGAATCTCATTAAGATTTGAAAGTTCATAAAGCTCATAAGGAACATTGCAAATTTGGTCATTGACCAAAGCATACTCACAACCAGGATCAGAAATCTCGAAATCATCTAATTCATGGCTATGATCGGTAGCCGTTATAAGTCTCTCCTCTTCTACAAATTTATTTTCTAGTGTAAGAGACCAATGCGGTGGATCTTTATGTTTCCTTGGCCCCTGGTGCCTAATCTTGATAATGCCCATTGGCACAAGGGGCACACAGGGAAAAAGAAATGATCATGCAAGATATTGAGAAAACCAAATAACTGTCTCCGATGTCAAGAAAATCCCTGGAAAACAATTAGGCAGGTATATGACACAGTTAAATCATATACTTATTTTATTAAGATTGACTTAGGATAGGCCAAAGAAACAATTATCATCTTCTACAGTTGCAATAAAATCTTAAGAACGAGTAAAATGATAAAGAAAGTGAAAGGAAGCCATCTAAATTCCATAAGAAAAATCAGAACAATGAAACAGAAGGTTTTTTAAAAGATTTCTTTCATATTAGACATCTAAGTATGCAATATAACATGGAGAGATGACCTTTGTCTACGTTTATCTGAACAGACCATCAGATTCTGTGTTCACAATTATAAATTTATCTATTTTAATTCATAAGTTCTACAAAATTAAATAGTAACTACTAGCTGCATAAACCAGCTGTATAACAAATGAGAAATTCCAAAAACTTATTTTGTTTTGCCATTATTAAATCTTGAGAACGTGCTTCTTCAACAAAAATGAATTAAGCTTTGAGACTTTGCAGTCGAAAAGTGAACAAATTTTATTACATTGTCAACACAACTGGTTGTATAGGATTTTGACCACCACCACAGAATAACAATTTTTATTCAGTATCGAAACTAGGATTGAAAAGAATTTAAGCATCAGTAAAACAAAAATTATTTAGTAATCGGATTGTAGCTACTTTTTCTGTTTAGGGAGAACATTGTAAACAGATAAAAAAACATAAGAACCTCGGATGATTG